AGTTCCTAAGTTGGGTGTTGTGATGTGTATGTATGTATATGCTTGGTATACTTGGGATACCTGGGGAAAGGTTAAGGTAAGAAAGTAAAAGTGTAAGAATTTAAAGTTACCAGGACTGGGATTAGACTTCAGGGGCCTGGGCTGAAGAACTGAGGTTTGGGAGTAATTTAGGTTAATTGATCGTAATTGATTAAAAGACAACACCCAAAGCTTGCAGATCAGGGAAGCATGCTGGCACAGAGACTGGGTCTGGAGCCAGAACTATGGGGGAAGCTGAAAAGGTAGATGGGGAGAGGGTAAAAAGGGACTAAGGGAAAGTGTGGGTGTTAAAGAGGGGCTCTGGGTGTGGGGGAGCCAGAGGATGGCTCCAGGGCAGCTAGAGGAGTCTGGGAAGCTGCAGGAGCAGGGAAGCCTGAAAACAGAGAGACGGACAGCAGAAAATTACATAGATTTCATAGACATCAGGGCTGGAAGGGACCTCGGAAGATCATCGAGTCCAGCCCCCCGCCCAAAGGGCAGGAAGTCAGCTGGGGTCATAGGATCCCAGCAAGATAAGCATCCAGTTTCATCTTGAAGGTGTTCAATGAAGGCGCTGGAACCACCTCTGGTGGCAGGCTGTTCCAGACCTTGGGGGCTCGGACAGTAAAGAAGTTCTTCCTTATGTCCAGCCTGAAACGATCTTGAAGTAGTTTGTGACCATTCGACCTCGTCATCCCTTGGGGCGCTCTGGTGAACAAACGTTCCCCCAGATACTGGTGGTCACCCCTGATAAACTTGTAGGTGGCCATCAGATCACCCCTAAGCCTGCGCTTTTTCAGGCTAAAGAGCCCCACGGCTCTCAGCCTGTCATCGTAGGGTCTGCTTCCCTGACCTCTGATCATGCGCGTGGCTCTTCTCTGGACTCTCTCAAGCTTCTCCACATCCTTTTTGAATTGAAGTTTGGAGAAGTTTGGAGCCCAAAACTGGACACAGTACTCCAGCTGCGGCCTCACTAAGGCCGAGTACAGGGGGAGAATGACGTCCCGGGACGTCATTCTTGAAGGGTGATGCAGCACTCAGTCTGAAGAGCCCCCAGTAGGAATTTAAGCTTGCTCAATCTGCAGTATAGCCCTCCAGTCTATGCCTTTCCTGTTGTTCTGAGAATACAAAAAGCACAATCCAGTCTACAATGTGCACTTCCTATAGTGGTACCTGGCAGCAGCACTATAATGTAGCATTGTTTTTTTGAGGTTGGTAAGTGAACAAAAACATGGTATTGGCCATCCAAATATTTTGTGTACTCACTACGTGGTATCACTTTAAAGGTTCAAGTATTCATGCACCAATAGAAAAAATAGAGATTTGCATCACATGCACTATAAAGAAGTTACATAGGAGCCCTGAGGATGCCACCAGGAGCCACATCTCAAAAAGTCCTTATGTACAGGTAAGACCCTAGTACCTAAGTAAATAAATTTAAATATGGATCAGCAAACAGATCTCTCAGTTTTCCTTATTTGCTAGTATAACTTTCAAATGTGATGGAATGATATGATAGTAACCCCACATTCTGCTGATGTTAATATTTTTCTTCAACAGCATGTGGCAAATAATGGCATCTGTTTAAAGATGTACTCCTTGAGAATGCCATGTTATGCTTTTGAAACCTGTTTCCAATAAGACGCAGCATAAACCTAACCATGACCCACTGACTCCCTGTTTACACCAGCAATTTATTGGGAATGTCCGTTTCAACTTACACAGTTATGACAAGAACATGAAGATAAAGGGCATGCAGACGTATCATGCATCTTATTACCACTTGCCTTGGAATGCTAGTGCAAGCTATGCTGACCTTTCCAGAGTTTCAAATGAAGCTAGCCTGTCACATGTGGACTGAGGAATATGGGTTAAAAAAAGTCTTAACACTGACTTTATTGTAAAGCATGTATTGTAAATGTAGGACTGCATTTTCAGTTGTTTTGTCTAACTGAATTGAAATGCTGTAAAAGTGGATTCATGATCCATACTGTCATATATTTAATGCACAGTAGTTCTAAAGAGAAATTGAACAAAACATTGGAGAACAGCAACTACAAGCTGTTTTTTCTGTAAGAATTTGAAATGTGGTAACATCCTAGAAATATTACTACTTCTTAAGTCAAACAAGATTTCTTCTTTTTGGAATCTCTCTCCCAGCTTGTGATGTGGTTGTCTTTTTGTTATTGTTAATGAGTATTTTCATTTATCATGTATACGGATTCTGTCTGATGTATCTGTACTTGTCATTACTGGGATGTCAAAGACTGCTGTATCCCTATGAGTTATATTGTCCAGAGGTGGTTGCTGGCAGGGCCTCTGGGGTGGATAGGTGATGCGAAGCTGGTCTGGTCTGCATGTAAATGGCATTCCCACTGGGTCTGTCTTCACTGCCCCTTTTTATTGGGGCAGACTGTACGTGACCCTAGTGACAGGAGGCATGCCCAGGCAAGGGTCAGCCCCTGATGTACTGAGCATGTGTGCTACATGCAGGCATGTGCAGTTTTGCGTGTCTGTAATGGTGGGGTACAATGGTAGAGTTGCTGGTTCTGCAGGGTCTTTTGTTTTTCAAATGCTGGGTTCTTGTCTCTGTTCCTGGGTGAGGTCCGCGGTTCCTGGATGAATCAATGCGAGGTGATGGCTGGCCTGGTCGTTACAGGCCATTCAGTAGAGGCCTGCTCACATTGTATTTCAGTCATTCTCAATCATTCTCATTCATCAGGGAACCAATTTACATGGGAGGGGTACAATGAATCATATTATTGCAACATGGGATGCCCAGGCAGAGGACAGAAGATGGAGGCTTGACATATAAAATGGAAACTTGACATGACTTTGGTTCACTTAAAAACAGGCCTAAACCATATAATATCCATATGAAACAATAAAAATCAATACGCAAATGATAATAATACAATATACAAGAGTAAAAATTAATACAAACCTAATAATTATGCAATATAAAACAGTGGCTATCCAAAACCAAAAACTTGCTAGCAAAATAAAAATGTTCAAAGCTTATCCTAAGTTTGAGCTCACTTATACTTATCTATAGGGAACAGAGAGGGAGAGAAAAGTCAGAAACGGTTGGGGAAGGGGAGGGAATGCATTTAAAAAAAAAAAAAAAAAAAAGAAAAACTGGGGGTTTTGCTACAATGCTCATCGAACCAGTCCTGATGTTTCTTTGTGGAGAAACCTAGAGATGCTTCACACACTTCCCCCACACACACACACACTCTTCCCACATGCACACACACACTTCCTGCACATTCGCACACATTTCACGTACACAAATTCCACAAGCAGCACTAGGGACTGCATCTTCCTCACCAAGGCATGCCCCACTCCCCCTCCCGACGGCTGCTGTGTCTGCTGCCTCTGCTGATCACAGGCGGAGAAAGGCTCTGACCAGCCCAGGGTCCATCCTGTGCCCCCATAATGTCCCCAGCTGGGGGGTTGGTGCTGCCCTCGTAGTGTGCTGGGGCGATGCTGGAGGGGCCCAGTCTGCCTGTGGCATGTCCCATGGCTCAGCACCTGCCTAGCAGCAGTCTCTGGAGTCAGCTTCCCTGCCCACCATGTCACCCCCACTTCTCTTAACCTGTCTGTACTGCACCCTACCTGTCCCCGTAAGGCCCACCTGCTGGACATCTCACACTAGCCCTGTCTGGACTTGCCCAGGGGTCAGTGCAGAGCTGCAGCCCCAGACAGGGCAGAGAGTGCAGAAGGGTCCGGCCCTTGCAGAGCACAGCTCCTCTCTGGCACCAGGATGGGGGTCTGCAGGGGAGGGGCACTGGCTTTGCCTGTGGGTGTGTGGGCTGCCAGGGCCCCCCAGCTGGGACCCCTTTCCTTTGACCCTGCTTGTTGTGCATGCCCAGGGCTCCCTGCTCCTCACGCTGAAGGAGGTGCACCCTACGTTCCTGTTCGCTGTGCCCCGTGTGTGGGAGAAGATGGAGGAGAAGCTCAAAGCCACCTTCAGCCAGTCGTCCCTGGTCAAGAGGAAGCTGGTGGAGTGGGCGCGGGGCATCGGGCTGCAGGCCAGCTACAGCCGCCTGGACGGGTGAGTAGGGGCAGGCAGGGGTACGGGGCGGGTAGATCCATCGGGGTGAGTGGGGAGGGCAGCACAGGAGGGTACAGGGCAGACAGGACATGCGTGTTGGGTCATAGGAGCCTGGTGGCACACAGCAGCCGTGTGAACATCTGATACAGGCTGTCACAGGTGTGGCCGAGCTCCCCCACGGCCACTCACCCGCTGCCGTGAGGGACCCAGTCAGCGAATGGTGCAGGTGCTCTGAGCCAGACCAGCTCCTTACTGGGATGCCAGGCACATGCTGAGGGTACAGGCCTGCCCTGCTCCCCCAACTCCTCCAAGAGCGTGGGCCTGCCTATCCCTCGGGGGTGGCACTGACCCAAAGCACCGCCATCCCCCTGGCTTAAAACTTCCTCCCCCAGGCCTCAGCTGGGCCTGGGCATGGTTCCTCCCCTGACTCTGGGAGCAGCTCCACTCAGCTTGAGCTGGTGGGGACTATTTGGTGTCCTCAAGTTCTGCGATGATCGCAGATGTCTTTGGGCCACCGTCAGGTGGATGGCCGGTGTTTCAGAAGTCCTCTAGGTCCGGCACTGGTCCAATGACTGGGGCTTTCCCAGCTTCCTGTCTGGGAGAGCCCATCCCGGCCCCAGCCCCAGCCCCAGCACAGGACTGCTTGTTCCCAGGGCTCCGAGCTGAGCCCCAACAGAGCAGCTGGGCCAAACCCATTTGCAGAGGTCCATGAGGCCTCCCACTGCAGAGCCATCCCTTAGGACCGTGCCTCTAGTCTGGGGGCTGCCAGCAGAGCTGGGAACATGGAGCTGAGGTCAGTGGCTGGGGGGGAGTGCCCCTGTGACAGCTGCAGGTGACTGCCTTGTGCTGCCCAGGGTCCCCAGTCCTGCCGGGCAGCTCAGACCACAGCAGCAGCATGGAAAGAGGTGGGCCTGGGGGCCGTTGTCCCCATGGACAGCTCCCAGCTCAGGACAGCTCTCGGCTCCTGGGCTGGCTGGAGCCACAGCCTGGCCCAGCCCAGCAGGGTTCCTTGCTTTGTGAGAGGCTGGATACCAGGTGCTGGGGGCACCTTGGGCAGGCAACATCCAGGGCAGATGATGCCAGCCTAGTGGCCCAGGACACCCCGGAAGTTTAGCAAAGTACCCACAACCCAGCCCTGTGGTCTGTTGCATCCTCAGCCCTGTTCTTCCTCCCCACAGGGATGGCTCTGTGCCCTGGGGCTTTGCCCTGGCCGAGCGCCTGGTGTTCAGGAAGGTGCGTGAGGAGCTGGGGCTGCAGCGCTGCACCCTGCTGATGACCGGGGCAGCGCCCATCTCCAAGGACACGCTGGAGTTCTTCATGAGCCTCCACCTGCCACTCCTTGATATGTTTGGCTTGAGCGAGACCAATGGGCCCTACAGCACCTGCACACCCCAGTCTTGTCGCATCCTCAGGTGGGACAAGGCCACAAGCTACAGGGGGAGGACTAGGGGCAGACACTGGGCAGAGGTGCAAGCCTGGGTGTGTAGGTCCTTGTGGGAAGCTAGTCACCTGAAAAGGGTGTGGGGATAGCAGGGGCTGGGGCATGGGGGTGGGGACCTGCTCCAGATGGGGGCACAGGTGACGGTGGTTCAGGACGGAGCACCTCAGGGGCTGCACAGTCACTCCCAGGTGGTGCATGTCCCTGGGAGCCCTGCCCCCTACAAAGCCTCCACTGCCACTGAGGGTGGAAGCATTGTCTCCAGCTGCGGGAAGGAGCTGCCAGGATGCAGGTCCCAAATCAAGGAGCCAGATGCAGAGGGCACCGGTGAACTGTGCTGCTGGGGCCGCCATGTCTTCATGGGCTACCTGGGCATGGAGGCCTTGACACGGGAGGCGCTGGATGAGGAGGGCTGGCTGCACACGGGGGACCTTGTGCGCCGTGACCCCGACGGCTTCCTCTACATCATGGGCAGGATCAAGGGTAAGAGCTGAAGCATGCTGGGGTGGTGGGGGGTGTGATGGGGTGGTGCAGGCCTGGGGGGCTGGAGGCTCCAGTGCAGATGGGATGGGAGGAGAAGCATTGCCCTGTTGTGTCCTGTCGCTGTTGTGTCCTGTCGCTGCCCCCTGCCACCCCCACCCTCACTGCTTTTTTCTTGGGGCTTTCCCTGCCATGGGCTTGCCCTTCCCACCCCTCCCGCCCTGTGACGCTGCGCTGGTTGCAGAGCTGGTCATCACAGTGGGTGGGAAGAACATCGCCCCGGTGCCCATCGAGGACGCAGTGAAGAGGGAGGTGCCGATCGTCAGCAACGCGATGCTGGTCGGCGACGGCAGGAAGTTCCTGTCCATGCTGCTCACTCTGAAGGTGGGGACATGTCTGCCCCCACTGTCCTGGTGGGATGGGTCCCACAGGCTGGGCCAAGGGCATTGTGTGGTGTGGACTCACTGGGCTGCCCATGGGGGTGTCAGGGGTGTAGCTGCTGCAGTGAAGGGCACCTCCTGGCCCCAGCCCACCGAGTGCAGCTGTAGCCCCTGGTCCTGGGTCGAGGCTAACATAATGTCCTGCACTGTTGTGTCTCTCCTGCACATGGGTAGTTATCACCCTGCCACAGTTGATGTCTCCTTCCTTCACCCTCGCCCAGTGTCTGGCCTGGGAGAGCCATGGCTGCCATGGAAGGATCTGTGCCCATGTTCCCACTCTCCCCACACCAGCTGCCCACCTGCCCCTTCATAGAATCATAGAAGTCGGGTGGGAAGAGACCTTGTAGTTCTCAAGTCCGACCCCCTGCCTGGGCAGGAGGAAAACTGGGCTCAGTTGACCCCAGTCAGGTAGGCATCAAGCCACTTTTAAAGACCCCCAGGGTAGGAGCCAGCACCACTTCCCTTGGAAGTTGGTTCCAGGTCCTAGCCGCCCTGACAGTGAAGTAGTTCTTACGGATGTCTAATCTGAACCTACTCTCCGACAACTTGTGGCCGCTATTCCTTGTTATCCCGGGGGGCGCTGGAGGAAACAAGGTCTCCCCCAAACCCTTCTGGTCCCCCCTAGTGAGTTTATAGATGGTCACCAGGTCCCCCCTCAGCCTTCTCTTGTGAAGGCTGAACAGGTTCAGG